AAGAATTTTGGTGGTCAACAAATCCCACGAAAAGACCAACAGATTGCATGTCATGCCTTTTTATTGAAATGTGTTCAAAATGATAGAATAAGAACATAATTAGTAATATTATCACAAACAGTAGCATGTAAATTAAGACTGCAAATATTAATCTAAAACAATCACACAACACAATGTCTTATCGTCTAATCTCAAAACATTTGTATGCTCTGGCAAAAGTACAGCAACACCATCTGGACACAATTCATCGCAATGCACAGAAGTTAAAAATGACTGGAGGAAAGGGTTATTAATAACCAGCATGGTTCAAAAGCTTTATTTTAAAATGTATAATTAATTACATAAACCTACGATTCTCCTAGTTTGATGATCAATAAAATCATACTGTAGTAGTGTCATCTTTTTATTCATAAAAGCAGTTTCCTACCACCCCCCATGGGTGCAGTGGATCTAACCCTAACCTTTGACCTTTGTGGAGAAGGTTACGGAAAGTCTGTGTTTCAACTCAAATATCAAACATAGAATCACATTGTTAATATTATCTTCATACATTAATCATTTCAAAGCGATTGAATGAGTGATGGATAGGCAAGATTCTGCCCTTGTTGAGACTATCGGCATAAATCGGAAATAGAAGAAGAGAGAGGACAGCAATTCTGTGCTATCAGTTAATTATCACCAGAAACTGTGATTCAAAATATAAAATATTACCTCCAGGATGTGAACAGAAGTTCGCTCCTATTTTCTGTTCCCATCTACCCTATAAAAAATGGTGTCTAATATGTTTTCCAACGCTGAATGGTTTTAAATCAAAAACAAGTTTCCTGAACTGTTAATGCCTCGAACAGAAAACAGGAAACATTGTATTCCATTACCTTCACCTCTTCAAGGAGCAAAACCGTAAAATGATCCTGTTATCGCGTTAAAGCTTCAGCATCCTTCCGCTGGCTCTTTTGCCTCTAAAACAAACAGTGTGTAAGACTTGTCAGAATAGATGTACCCTGCTGTGGCTGCTGCTCTTTTCACCCCACAGCCTGCGAGCTCCAAACAGAGCTCCACTGTGCCTCAGCGGACATTGAAATTCCCCCGACGTTTGTACAGTGAATTCCATTTCCTTGCCTTTTGATTCATACTTTTTTTTTTTTTCTCCCTCTTCTCTTTTTTTTGCTGTGAAGTACCTTTTTGTCCCCTGTTTGAACTTCGGTGAAGAATTACTCTGTGAATGGAGGTCGGGGTCAGAACAAAATGGGCAGAGTGAATGACTTGAGAAGGGGGAAAACTATGAAGAGTAATGGGCTGCAATGACTAAGGAAAAGCATTAAGCCTCTGCAAACGATTCCTGCTCCTCTCTGGGCTTCTAGGCTTAATAAGATTGCACACTTCTTGAAGTAGTTTAAACTTTTGGCTGTGCATTAATTGATCATGAGTCTTTAAATTTAAAGTAAAAAAATCTGTTTTTCTTAAGTTTATGTCCCTTAAAATGTCTGAGCTTAATTACACTGACTTATATCAGTCCAGAGTTTCCCATTTCTCTGACAAAGAGGGATATGTGTGTACACTTTCCTATAAACTGACTCTGAATGCTTCATTTTGATAATGCGCAGTGATGAGTGAAGCAAGACTTTTTAATAAAGGAAAAAAAGTAGCTTATTTTTCTTTCTTTTTTCCATCCAAAAAAGGGACCTAAAGGCAGTCACAGTGTCTTCCTATTTTACTTGGTGCCCATAGAGGCATTAGCTATATACTCCTTGTCCGTACATTTCCCTAATATTGGACACCAGAAGCCATATTTTGGAAGGCTAAAGTTCCAAATGAGAGAAAAAGAGCAGATGTGCCTCCAGCCCCTTCCAAATGTTTAAGGAAACCATGTTAAACAAAGGTTATTGGTCTAAAACGGGCCTGAAGGCAGATAGCGTTTTTTTCCTCTTATTTCACTTCTGCATGAGTTGTAATCCTTGCCAGAGTAATGTCTGTTGTTGGACACATACACTGGAAAAACTGAAACGTTGAATTTAAATACATTTATTATGTCAACAAAATTCACAAAACTGTGTTAGGTTAGATGAAAGTATTAAGTTGAAACAAATATCTAATTATATTTAAACTTAAAATAATTGCTTTCAACTAACCTAATGTAATTATGTGTCATTTGTTGACATAAAACATTTAATTAAAGTCAAGACCAGTTTTTCACTGTAATCATCTAATTAGTGGCTTAGACAGGAAGTGAAGGTCAATATGTCGCATTGGACCGCATCTCCTTTCTTGCTCCTGCACCCTACAGTTCGCCGCTCGATGCCTCCACAGCCAATCGAAGGTGTCCACACTGACCGCAGTGGGGGGATGGGGTCAATTCGGAACAGCTTGTTCTCATCGCAGCGAGGCTCATCTCTACTGTATGCAGGGTGTGGATTAGGGGATGAAAGAATGCCACTGACTGTGAAATTGCCTGATTTTTATCGGGGATGTTGGGGAGCAGCTGTGCACAATCCTCTGCCCTAATCCCGGGGCCGGGAGAGGACCGAGCCCCACGGAAGAGAGACTGTGTGTGTGTGTGTGTGTGTGTGTGTGTGTGTGTGTGTGTGTGTGTCATGCATGCCAAGGTGTATAATGGCCTGGGGAAGTTTGAATGGTGGTGTTTATGCATGTTCCTTCAGTAGACTAGTTGGCCCTGATAAGTTATCCCAGTATTTGTACTCTCGTGAGTGTGTTTGCAGCGGCGTGCATGCAGCAAGAGTTCAGCAGATGAGAGAGGAGACAGCTCGGCTTTTCATGTTTCAATTGGTCGAGGCCATCGATGGTTAAGAACTGTGTCATAACAATATTATTGATGCGTTGACTGTATAATCCTGTTTCTCCACTATCTGACCAAGCCTGCTGCTGGGATAGAGAGGAAGAGGAAATCCAACTGGGAGCATTTTTGATGCCACATTTCCATTCACTGCTGAGGGAAACTTAAAGGTGTACCTATCAACGCTTCATATTTATCAAATGTGAAATATAAAAGAGTTTGTTGATAGTGACAAACCTACAAAAAAAATGTTATTACGGTGTGTTTTTAAATCTTATAGCACATTTTTGGGTTTTAGCAGCATGCAACAAAAAAGCTCTGATAATCACACAGGGACACAAACTTGATACCCAAATATATGACAGACAGTGGATACTAAAAATACAAATCTAAAAGAAGAGGGAATGTTGCAAATATAGGACTCTATATTCTAATGTTACATTTTGGGCAATTCCTTTATAACATGTTTTGCCATTTTAACATTACTGTATATGCTGATAAAGCTGATGTCAATATTAAGTGAATAGCTTTTTCCACTGCGTTCAGATCCCGCTTTAAATCAAATATAATTAAGTTTAAGTTCAAATGGAATAAAAAAATGTAATTATCACTCAACCAAGTCGTCCACACAGATTCGTAAACAAATTACAATCTCTTATTTAGGATATAGAACACTTTTTATGCATACAGCATTAAAAGCATTCAAAGTGAACTGAAGAACACGTTTTAAACAAGATAACCCGTTCACATTGTCTTTTAACAAAAAACATTTGAGATTTATTTAAGTTGTGAAATGCAATGGAAGAGTAACTGAAAAAAGTGTCACGACAAATGCTTAAAACCTTAACATCTTACAATACACATTACTTGAATACATTTTACTTTTCACTACTGAAAACAGGCATTAAATTAAATTTCCAGGATAGAACGAGTCCGTTTGGTCCCCCATAATACATCATCACCGGAGTGTGGATATGGATATTCAGTGCAGGGTTTTGAGGAACAGAGGATCTTTGATCCCTGCTCTTTGATGTGGCGCTGCCCACATTCAGAAGCATGTTCGGTGTGGGCGACACATGCCACTGAAGCTCTATCTGTTGTCTCTCTGCACCGCTCACATGTTTGTATATAAGATGAATGGAGGCCTATCTCGGTGGCCATGCCTGACGCTCAGACTGAAATATAGTCAGCAGGTGACAGGCAAACATATGCCTCAAATGCCACGGGGTCCTGAAGCCGGATCATCTCCAAAGGCTAACTGGCAGGTCTAAGTAGGAGCGGCATTAATACATATTATTCACAAAGAGCATGATTGAACAGAAAAATGTGCCCGCCGTGTACCCAGCTGCTTTGTTGGCACACAGCTCAGCCTCTAACTGGGTTTCAAGACTGAGCTTGGATTTGGCCATGCATTCACTGAATTCCCCATGCAGCTCTTATTCATTCATTCGGGCTCAGGCCGGGCTGTACCAACACACTGCTATCTGTGTGTGTGTGAGACAGACTGTGTGCATTTGTGCCAATTTCTGAATAGTTTTGTAAATCACAGCAAATTCTGATTTTTGACAAGTATATGCACGAAATGTTTATAATTCAGAGATTTAATGGATGTGATTTAAAAAGGCCTTTTCAAGCTTTATTTATGAAATGAGTGTAAAGCTGTTTGTCACACACAGATGCCTGCACTGTGGCAGCTGAACACAATGAGTTTCCCAGGAAGATTAAACCTTTTGACCTTTCATTTTACACTCACTTGCTGCTCCAACACCCCTCTATGGACAGTGCTATTTATCCCAGTGTGCTGAGTTATAATAGTTTTTATTTTAATAACATAAAAATTAATTTGTGGTTTTAATTTGGCAGGTCTTGGCTGATGCAAAGCAGGATTAAACATGTTTCCTGTTTGCAGCCCGGCACAGTGAGAATAACTGCCCTGATGTTCTCACCTGCTGCATGAGTATGTGATGTTCCCTTTACATTCATATACATGTACAGATACATTTCTTTAGCCAAAGCTTGCCTCCCAGCCATCAGGAGGTCAGCAGGTGCTTCTGAGCCAGATGTCTTTGGCTTCTTCACACTGTGAGTGTGAGGATATTTTTTTAGAGATACAGCGTCCTCTAGAGGCAAAGCTGTGAAGGGGTTTTTGAAAAAAGCTTGCTCGGAAAATGGTATCCCTTTCCCCGCAACACAGACCCATGAAACAGTATTTTACTTGCCAATTTTTAATGCAAAATATAATCTTAAATTCAGATTGTGATTCACAGATGTTGACATAAAAAACTTGAATTACATGCAGTTATTTAAAAAAAGCTAACATGACACTAATGCTAATGCTAAATATTTACTTCATTATCCATTCATCATTTTCTGGGAGTCATAAATGTCCATCCCAGTTTCTAACACAAATTGTATATTTCAGCATATATGTAATAACTTTTACCTAAACCACAATTACATTCCATTGTGTTTGAAAAGAAGAAATAGCAGCCAAACAAGCAGGAGAAAAAAAATATATGTAAAAAGATAGAAATATAAATCTTTGTTAATTATACAATCAAAATGACAATCTATGTATTCAAATGAATTCAATCTGGTGGAAGAAAGGAGTCTTTGTAGAATGTTGGAGTCTGTGAATATGGAAAATGTGACAAATGATGAGCTTGAATGAAAAAGAAAATTGCACTTCTTTAGAAGTAATTTAAAGGAAACATTGTTTTCAGTCCTACCTTCATCGTTTGTCAGCTTTTGAAAAGAAATTTGACTGCAAAACAATTCAGAGGGAAACTTCCTGTTAGGCATTTATGTTTGTTTACTGAAACTGCATGTCTTTTCCAACTCTAATAATATCCAGTATCATGTCAACTTTATATTAATACAAACTTCTGCCAGGCTTTTACTTTGGCAGGTGACTCACATGCTGTCCTTTAAGTGGCTTGCTGTAAACATTAGACTTCACTTCTTGGCTTCCTCTTCGACTTTCACTCTCTGTAACACCTGCAGGGAAATCATCCAACATGCACAGCTGAACAGAGGATTGTGCAGTAAAATAAAAATAAAAGAGTCCCGTTTAGTGTAAGTGAAGCTCACTCGATCAAAGCGAGGCACTGGGATTCGATTAAATAACACTTCCCTGAGGATTAATTCCCCACTACTGCGACTGCGACTGGGACTGGGGAAACTACAAAGGCATGCAAACACAGGTTTTCTCTGTACACACTCGATAGGATTTGAAAGACTCACTTGGCATGTGATGAACAATGTTGATTTTATCTGCGTGGAGAGAAGAGTTCCTCAGCCATTTACAGTATACAGGTTATTACAGTCATTTGTAAGGCTCCAACTTTAACTGCACCGCATAATATTATTTTTTTTAAGTTGAAGTTCCAGGAAAGCTTTCTGTGATGACAGCAAAGTTTAACCCTCATGTGAAGGATGGAGGAATATTTACCGTAGACACTGTCATCAGCCTCTCTACTGCTGACGATACTGGCTCTCAGCTGATTCAACTTCTCCTGCAGGAAACAGGAAACATCCATTTATTTTACCATTTGTTTCCTTAAAGCATTGTCTTTTTGTGCTCTGGTTACAAGTTAGGCTATTTTGGAACTTGGTTTGTGTATTTATGCCTGTATATTTTTACTAAATTCACCCAAAAATTTAGGATTAGCATCATTTAAATATTTAAACATAACGTTTCTTAAATCTTGTAAAACTAAATATTATTGTCTAATGTAAGTTATCACCTTGGTAGGTTTTACAGTGTGTTATATTTGTTAAAAACATTGAACACTGTTCACCTGTAGTGCGCATATGGAATGTTACATATACTTGCCAAAATTATGCTTATTATTTAGCAGTTTCTTCTGATTTATGTAGTTCCAAACAAAAAAATCCAAATTCCTTCTGTAAAAACCTTTTGATTCTAATATGTCAACAAAATAAAACTAGAGTTTTGCACCTGGCTTTAATCGATGTTCACATATCCTTCCTGGAAATGTTTGCAAATTACATTTTTATTATGTAGTTAAAAATGTGAATGCAGAATATTTCTGCACCTCGTTATTTTTACATAATGTAAAAGATCTGAGTATTACTATATACTACTATTGACTTTGAAAATGTACCTCTGTATTTTTCCTATACGGTGTTTTTTAAATCCACATATAGTACACATAGGTCTTGTGTGATGGTGATTGCTGTGTTTCAGTTCTAACTCCTGTCCTTCCCCCTCCCAGCCAGCAGGGGTCCTTAGTTCCCCTAATCACCGCCTGCCCACACACCTGTCCCTCATTAGCATGATTAGCTTCTCGGTGTCCACACTAGCTCGTTTTCATTTAGTTTAGGTTGTTTAAAACAGTGATAATATAACCTTTTAATCTCAACTTTACTACTTAAAAGTATGTAAATCAACTCTAGAATATGACTGTATTTGGATATGGATGAAGTGGTAAGTGGTAGATTGTTTTACTCACTGTTTTGAGTATGTTTTGCTATTCAAAATAGTTATCACTACAATAAACAGTGGTTTATTTTACTGTAGAATATTACATTTTACTTTATGTTGTATATATCTCATTATATTTACATGTATATAGACTCCTGCATTTACTTTGTCACTTACAACATTCTCTGCATTATTTAGCTTTTTGTATCTATTTATAGAGGCGAAGGAGGGACTTCACCTCTCTATATAACTATGTTGGAGGAGCTTGGGACTTTAGATTTGTATTGCCATTTCTACACTGTAGCTACTGTGCAGGTGCATATGACAATAAAGCCTTTGAATCTTGAACAATGCTTACCTAAAGTTACCTGAACAACTGTCTATTTACTGTACCTTGTGTATGAAAATGAAAAAGTAAAAATGTTGCTGTTGTGGTTGCATGAAAACAAGACGCCTATAACTGCCCAAATTAGACCAAATTAACTCATATCATTTAAACCTGTATTACTTGATACACAGAGACATTATGACCAGTTCTGCAAAGAGATGCCTATTCCCCCTGCCATGTGACACACACAACAACACTGAATTTAATGTATGTTTTAGCAATGTAATGTTTATAGTGTCTGCTAACAGCAGTAAGCCTATGAAAGTGTCAGTCTTTGTTTTGCAGGACGGCATATCATGAGCAACAGATGGTGTGTGTGTGTGTGTGTGTGTGTGTGTGTGTGTGTGTGTGTGTGTGTGTGTGTGTGTGTGTGTGTGTGTGTGTGTGTGTGTGTGTGTGTGTGTGTGTGTGTGTGTGTGTGTGTGTGTGTGTGTGTGTGTGACCTGCTGCTCCTCATCCCCGCCTTTCTGAACCCGTTGCAAGTCGCTTAAGCGCTCCAGAGCTGAGTCCACGGTGAGTGCCCCCCCCTTCACACTCTGCTGCAGCTCGATCTGCTTCGGCACGAACGTATCATAGGTGGCAGAGATGCTGTCCTCTCGCCCACGTGCTGCAACAAACAACAATCAAAACGTCTGGAAAAAACATCCAAATTCTGAGCAAAAGGTGGAGAAAAATCAGTGGTTAAAACACTGGATTTGATACATAATGGCATACATTAAACTGTTAATTCCAGTGACAGATATAAGACAAGACAGAGAATAAAGCCACTCCAGATGGCATTCATACAGGGGATTTGTTGGTAATGTGATTCTGCTCTGCACATCTGTACTGTCAGTGAGTGGGGAAGATGGTTAGTAATGTTCTGGGTGACTGTGATGATCTTCAGATCTGTCACTCAGTGTCAGCGACAGAGGAGCAGAAAAATAACTTTATATCTCTGTAGACGTTCTTTCACACTTTGGATTTATTTCTCATCTTCTTGGCTTGCTCAAATGTGCTACCTTGCGTTTGGGTTTCTGTGCCCATTACTGCTGCGATGACTTTTTTCCTTCATGGTAATCACTACAACTTTAATGCACCAGTAATTATCTAGGAAGGTAAGCATTAAGTTATACCACCCAGCAGGTAATTCCAGCAGGTAATCAAAGAGTTACAGACAAGGCAGCAAAAATCACTGGCACAGTAAAAGTCCTGCTGTCATGAGTAAAACATTTACAGTCTCAAAGTCGTAATGCAAATTCTGTCAAGAAAGGGGAAATAAAGAAGACACATTTGCGAGCAGAAAATATGGAAATTGCCTCCTGTAGCTGAGAGTTACCCTTGTGTTGTGATGCTTTTTGTTTGACATGATATCCTCAGATGGATTCCTTTCAACTTTGGTTAAAATAATGAAGTGAGGATTTTTTTGGACACACATAAATGTCGACTGCGACCTGACTGCTTTGTGGAGGCATATGAATGTGAGGCGGTTATTCTCTTATTTAGCGCATCAATCTTTTGGGTCTTTCTGTATAAATGGTAAAGCCAGACCCCCGTACTACCCCTAACCGAGAGGTTATATAAGTTCATAAGGTGAATTTTCAAACTGAAGTCTGAAAATAGTAGCTTTTTAATTGTTTTAAAGGAACGTTTATCCTAATGCCCCCGGTGTTTTGCATGTCTCACAGTAGCCCACTCTATTTCCTGTTTGCTGCTGTAACAGAAATATCAGTGTCTTAATACCGTGATAATACTGCAGGTCAGCTGCTGCTCTGATATTGATCATTCTTCTGTAATCAGTTAGTTTTAAAACTTATTGGTTGCGTAACACTAAATTCCTAGAGTGACGCTTTAATTGTGACTTTAAATGATGAACCTTATATCATTGAGATCACCTTGTTTAGTGGGAAGCGAGTACAGATCAGTTTCTCCCTGTTGCGTCTTCTTCTTCTGGAACACTGTGAATACAAAGCAGACATAACATTATACAACATTTATTTAGGATGCAGTGGTGACAAGTAACATTATTATTATTATTAAGTATATTTTGCTAAATACTTTTGTACTTAAATAGATTTTGAATGACTTGAACTTGTAATAGAGTATTTTTGAAATGTGGTATTAACTACTGTTACTCAAGTAAAATATCCAACTCTTAGTATGCATATGTTTCTATTTTTTTCTAATTTAGCAGTCAACAACCTCACTGAAAACATTCCAAGCTATACAGATTCCTGCTTCTGCATTTCAAGAATTATTCCACAAGATGGCGCCATACCCTTTACTTACAAACAACCGACTGAGTGCCAAAAAGCCAAATGTAAATATCCAGGAGGAAAAAAACATCCTACTAGTGTTTGAGATGCAGTATAATTGAATCTATATCTGTGAAATGACGGGTTTGGGTTCACAGAGCTTAAATCTGTGTTCCTCTCAGAGAGAGACGTACACACTCCGCTCTGGGTTGAATTAGACGCCCTGAATGATGCTTTGGTAGAGAGCACTCAGAATGAAAGGCTACACTGTGTTGCTGTCAGAGCGGTGGAGCTGCGGCTGTGTGACCAACACTGGATTGAAATTCTACATCCACACCCTGCTAGATAATCCCACCTCTGAGCATTTCCTCCATGAAAGCGTCTGTCTTTTCCATGTTTAAACACAGCATGCTCGTAATACCAGCCTGGCTCTATGGCTCCATTCAGACCAGAACAGTGAGTGTAGTACAGCTGAGGACACATGACTGAAGCTTTGCCTTGTGTCTACATTTGTCTCCATGTAGTTTACATGCCTAGTTATTCCAACATCATTTCAGTCTCATTTAGCTGGACACACTGCTGCGAACAAAAGCAAAACTCCTCATTATTTCCACTTGTGCAGCAGTGGTGTCCAATAACTGGCTCCTCGCCTAATCCTCCGCCGAGCCTCATCTCTCCACTCACATCTCTCACTGCGGCAGTGGGAGTGAGGAGCAGAATGTGATCCTTGTGTGGTTTTGAAGCTCCGCTGTCTCAATAGATGGAAACCTCAGAATCCCTCTCCTTTTTCTCGTGCGCTCTGGGGACAAGGACGATGGAAAACACATGTAATGACTTATTCTGGCTGACTTGGCCTTGGTCTGGCCAAGATTGGTTGCAGATGGCAGCTCGGTAGTTGCCTCTGTTGCTGAGGGGATGGTTGGGATGCAGGATTTTCAGTGGTGCACTCAATTCATTGTTTTGCTTTGTAGGTCCCCATTGGGCAGAGGGATGGCTTACTGGATATAACAGGCTTAATAAAAAGCTTCATAATGGACATAGGGCGCCTGTTGCATTTCTGTGTGTTTTTAAGTGATGGTTAGTGTGGGGAGAGAGTAGCATTATTATGTGGGGGAAATCAGTATTTTGTGTGTGCATTTGCTAGAAGAAAACGAGCCCTTTTTAATGATTTATAGGCCTTAATAATACCAGTCACTTTTGGATGTTTCATCTTCATGAAATATTCACGCAGCTGAAATTGAACAGTTAGGGGCTGTGGGCTCTCCATGCAGAGTCTCTCCTCACTTTTGTTTGTTTTGCAGCACATGTTCTTGTGGTCTATGTGGGATAAAAGCAAACTTCATCCCAAAAAGCATCTCCACTTTATTCAGCAGCACTCCACTGACTTTGGCGATGCACATTCCAGGCACTTCATCCCACCCACATGATGTCCCAAACTCCCCTTCACTTACTGCGCAGTTTTTACTCAGCTCCATCATGTCTGTGATAAGGGAAAAAAACTGGCAAAGGATGTGCAGCACCTAATATTAACGTATTCATTTCCTGAAAATGTAATGAAACCCAATAATGTAGCAACCAATACCGTACTGGCTGATATTGTATGACCATTTACATCGATAATGTCATACCTTTCAGATGGGCTCTTTCTTTTTCCAAACCAATGGTGTTTTCACTTTGATGGATAATGTAAAACAACAACAAATACAGACTGATACAATCCAGGCTTTATGTAGGATTTAAAATTGATGGCAAATGGCTCGTCGTTATCGGGCAAAGATGCATTCAACTAAAACCAATATTAATCGGAAATGAACCCACCCTAACCGATGCTGATTGGTGGATGTGCAAAGTGGTCCATTAGACCAGAGTGCATCTTAGATCAGATGAGGACAGAAGAACACAATCCAGTAGATTAATGATCCATTAAAGGCTTGTTTTCCCTTTTTCTTATTTGCCTTGTCTGATCTTATGAAATTGCTGCTTTTTGAAAAGGACATTTCATTACACTATTGTTCAGGCTATTATGATTGTGCTTCATTACATTTTAGTCTATTATTACATCATTGGCTGCTACATAATGCAAGAAAACAGCCATAAGTTACCTTTGGTGATGTAAGGAGTGCCGTCCTCCTTCACCTGGGTGCCCTCAGGCCGAGGTGTGGGTGCTGGTGGGCGATTGGCAATAACCACAGCTTTTGTTGAGTTCAGGATGGAGTCATATTCATCCTCCAGTGGTAGGTAGATATCTTCCTCCTCCCCCTCCTCTGCTGGTGGCTCTGCATGTTTGCTGGAAGTAGTCCCTATAACACACAAAGTGTTCACTGCACTATCCTGTCATGATCAAGTTCTGCATGATGCTTTTATTGCTCATTTCACAGTGAATCGGAAGCAAACGCTACACGCTGTGCCCATCAGCGAGGGGGAAATATTCAGTGGTCGGAAATGAACAGCAACAGCATAATGATGTGCTGGGAAAAAAAATACAATTCCATTACCGGCTTTCCCTTTGTCCTCCTTCCACTTCCCATCAGCCCCTCACTCACCTGCAGCGCACATCATTTCATACACACTGGCATCACCATTGTCCCCGCCTGAGCTGAACATATTCTGCAACAACAAGAGCATGAAGAGACGGGCTTTATTCTCCATCCAAATCACAAAGGAGAAGCTCAATAGAGGAGATTTAGAATTCAAGGAAAGATGTGTTAATGTTAAAGCCGGGTGTTTGCTATGTTAGAGTGGATTGTCCTTTTCTCAGTATTCATGCATGTTTGACAAGTCCTGATACATTCAGGACTTGTGTGTGACCTAATGTGTGCTTGGCTTGCACACTTCATCCTTCCTGTCAGCTCATTTTCTCACCTGTGTCCTCCTTCCAAGGCACAATTATGAAACAAAAAAAGCTAAGATGACTATCCACTAAGCTTTTTATGCTCCGTCACAGTATGGTCTGATTTCTGCCTCCATGCCACACTTTAATATTCAGTGTTTTCATGTCGGATGTGACAAATGTCCAGACTATTAATTTCTCGCTGAATCTTTTAGGACTTCACTTGTGGAAAAAGCAATTTCAGGACTATCACAGCAAGAGAGAGGTGTGCTGTAACGCTGCCTGCTGCTGGATAACAGAGAGCAGCTTTCCCTCTGCTGCACAGTCGGCCTATTTGCTAATAGCACGCTGAGGGACAGACAGGGTATGATCAGGGTAATTATCAAATTAGACATTCTTCCCCTTTCAGTCCAAACATATCATTTAGTAAGCAATCCCAGACCCTTGGCTTGATATTTAGACTGCATCTGCAATTAGATTGAGACACGGATATCAGTATCTTGCCATGTTTCAACTTCTGATCGAGATGTAAGGAACCGAGTCACATCTTTAAAAAAAAAAAAAGAAAAAAAAGCTGGATGGATTGTAGATTTAACCTCAAGATGGATTACAAAAGCCTCTATCATAATGCATATGATAACTCCTTAGGATTGCATTTCTATTATCAATTTGAATGGCTAAAGTCTGAATTTGAAATAAATCCCAGTTAATAACAAATATTTGCAGAACATATGAAATACAGCTCACTTTGATCTTGACATCCTCCATATATAACCCGCCACGCTCCGTGTTCAGTTTCCAAGCAACACAGCCACTCATGACTCAATTACAATATTGCAATATTCCTAGTACTGCAAATCACTTATTGGTTGCCATGAATACTTAACAGTGGCGCTTCATAATGGGCCCAACAGGTAGAAAGGATGGGTTAATTACCGTCGCAGCGTGAACATTGACTAATATTAGTTGTATGCTGTGCTACAGCATAGTGTGGTATTTCCGGAGGTAATATCTGGACAGGGGAGGGGAATTTATTTACTAACCACGAATGCTAAATCATTTTACAGATGTCTGAAGCTGCAGGAGCCTCAGGCATTCCAGGCAAATTCAGTTTCACCGAGCAGCAGTGCTGTAGACGGAACAGCAGGCAGGTTTTTGTCAGAGGGAGAGCAAATCTCACACAAACCTGGTATAAAGATCAGGAGTTGGAATCTGGTTTCAACAGCTGAAATGGTCAATCCTCAACATGCGGGCTGACCTGACGCCGTGATTTCAGGATAACGGAGTCTAATGCATGGCAGATTGTAGAGGGTAACACTGAACCCATCACTTTGATAATGTGCAGACCAAATGTGCAGACTTATTTATTGGCAGGGAACAATAGAAAGTAATCAGCTCAGCAGGAGAAGAAACAATCCCTTTCTCTGTGAAGAGTTATAGTTTTCTTTCAACCATAGTACTGTACATAACATTTAAACACAGTGGTACTGCAGTATGAGCTAAATGCTAATATGCTCACAATGGGGATGCTACAAATTTGCAGCTGGTATAATGTTACCCATGCTGACTTATAGTTTAGTATGTTAACATGCTAACGTTTGCAAATTAGCATTGACCAGATGAGGTGTTTCACTGCATTTACCTTAAAGGGGACCTATCATGCAAAATGCACTTTTGTACGTCTTTTATACATGAATATGTCTCCCCAGTGTGTCAGGGAACTCACCAAGTGTCAGAAAACACAACCCTCTCTCTTTTCGTCCATACCCAAATCTCTAAAAACTGGGCTGCAACGGAGCTGATACAGACGTTAATTTTTCTGACGTCAGAAAAGGGGTGCTCCGCCTATATGGGCAACTCTCAATCAATCAATCAATGTTTATTTATATAGCCCAATATCACAAATGTTACATTTGTCTCAGTGGACTTCACAGTTTGTACAGAATATCAGTATGACAATACGACACCCTCTGTCCTTAGACCCTCACATCGTACAAGGAAAAACTTCCAGAGAAAACCCACAGTTTAAAGGGAAAAATGGGAGAAACCTCAGGGAGAGCAACAGAGGAGGGATCCCTCTCCCAGGACGGACAGACGTGCAATAGATGCCGTGTGTAAATTGAAAAGATAATACATTTGCAACATAGGTAGTCCAAATGTTTGGAAATGCATGTGTGTATAATAGGAAGATGAATCCACCGAGGGATATCCCATCCAGGACTTATGATCCAGGACCACAGCCACGACTCAAGATCCAGGACTCTGCCGATCCCATGACACAGGACTTTCCCACCTAATCAGGGGATATGGGGGGTTGGGCCGCACGGCCCTTGCCGCT